GTTTTCTATTTTCTACAATTAATGCCACATATTCTGTCATTTAAATGTACAGACATTCAAATTAATTGTTTAAATACTATTTGGAGCTATTGTATATCTAACAAATGTTTTAATCTAAAAATATAAAAATAAATATAGAGCTGAACATTTAGAGAACTTGCAAATCAGTGATGGCTGTTAGCCTACATCTGAGTGTATGTGTGTGTGTGTGTGAGTGTGTGTACGTGTGTGTGTGTGTGTGTGTACGTGTGTGTGAGTGTGTGTGTGTGTGTGTGTGAGAGAGGGCTATTTTAACAGCTGCTTTGACCCAGATCACAGCATCCAAACCAGAACACAAATATAGTTCCTGTGCACATCACATCAGCCTGAACTTTCAGCATAGCATCTTGACTGCCGCATCTCTGTGTCTGCAGTGTGTGACGTACAGTAGATCCAGGTGTATTAGGATGCCAATCCCCAATCTTTCTGGGTAAACGGAGAACACTGTTCTGTCGTGTCACTGGAGAAGCACACACACACAAGCTGAAGATCAAGTACAGCATGGGAGCCAACAGAGCCAGCAGGTAAGAAGAGAATGTGTGGGAACAATCATGTTTATGGGTCAAAATAATGCACAAAAATATGCTTAGTTTACTCAGTTTTGATTATTTCTAATATTATAAAAATCATTTGGATGAGTCAGTATATGTGATGTAATTTGTGTCTCTTTTTTTTGAGAGTTTCGAACTATGTTCTGTTTAAAACATTTCCTTTTTCCTAGGAAATTTATCTTGGACTCAAAAGCTAATCAAGTAACAAATACAAATAATGACAGAGACACATGACAAATATCAAATAATAAAGCATAAAGAGGTTTTACCCATCATCAAGAGCCCTGTGAACATCTGATGGTGTTCATGTTCGTTTACTGAAGTCTTTGGTTCTTCCATCACAGTAACACCACACACGTGAGGAGTAATGAAATCATTTTATTCAAGGCATAGATCACAGAAACAATTTGTGACCCTGGAGCACAAAAGCAGTCTGAAGTCGCTGGGGTATATTTGTAGCAATAGCCAAAAATACATTGTATGGGTCAAAATTATTGATTTTTCTTTAATGCCAAAAATCATTAGGATATTAAGATCATGTTCCATGAAGATATTTTGTAAATTTCCTACTGTAAATATATCAAAACTTAATGTTTGATTAGTAATATGCATTGCTAAGAACTTCATTTGAACAACTTTAAAGGCGATTTTCTCAATATTTAGATTTTTTTGCACCCTCAGATTCCAGATTTTCAAATAGTTGTATCTCGGCCAAATATTGTCCGATCCTAGCAAACCATACATCAATGGAAAGCTTATTTATTCAGATGATGTATAAATCTCAATTTCAAAAAATTGAGTTATGAATTATGACTGGTTTTGTGTTCCAGGGTCACATATCATTCTGTCATCATTTACTCAAGCCGTTCAAACCTTATGACTTTGGAACACAGATAATGATATTTTGAGAGTTTTTTTTTTGTTCATACAAAGTTAATGGGTTCCTATGTTGTTTGTTTGGTTCCGAAAGTTCAGAAAGAAAGTCATACAGGTTTGGAATGACACAAGGGAGAGTAAATGATGACATAATGATCCTTTTTGGGTTAAATATCCATTTAAGTCTAAAATCTGTAGAATAAACGGTAAAATGCTGCCAAATGTAGAACTACAGGGTTCAACTCAAAAGTTTGTGGTCATTTTAACTGGTTTGTGAATCAGTCTGAACTCTCAGAGTCAAATGATATGGGTTTAATGCTGATTCTCTAAAAACAAGACCATCTTAGACCAATTAAAGAGGATGAGGATGGACAGCATCTTGCTCTTTAAGGCAAGACTATGGGCTATTTTGCTTCCATATCATGTCTTGTTTCAGATTAGTGGAAAAACAACATCCAAAATACACATTTAAGCGTTTGTTTTATTGTACTTTATCTATTTGCGTCTGTAGATTTCCATCTCGGTACATATTTTTAAAAATTTTTTCTCCACTTCAGCAGCACTTACATACACCAAACTTTACAGTTTTATTCCTTTCTATATTCTGAAGGATTTTACTGAAGGGTTTATTCATATGCCATTTGGCTGGTTGTATTATTGCACTTTATATATTTTTCGTCTGTAAATTTCAGGCTTTTTCCTCAAAATGTGTTTTTACCTCCACTTAAGCAGCCCTTACAGTCACCAAACTTTACAGTTTTATTCCTATCTATATTCTGAAGGATTTTACCGAAGGATTTGTTCATATATGATTCACACTGATTTATATAACATTTTATTCCTAAAAACGTGGCAAAAATGCATCTCTTTATAGACTGTGAGTTTGTTTCTCCACTTGAGCAGCCCTTACAGTCACCAAACTTTACAGTTTTATTCCTATCTATATTCTGAAGGTTTTTACTGAGGGGGTTGTTCATATATAATTCACACTCATTTATATAACAGTTTACTCCTAAAAACGTGGCAAAAATGTATGTTTTTCCTGGCTGTTAACAGTATTTTCTGATTTATGGAGTGATGAAAAGAAAAACCCCAAATCCCCTCTGTAAAAACCTTTAACTCTAATATGTCAACAAAATCAAACTAATTTTGAACCTGGTTTTATCCAATTTTCAGATTTATGTTATAGAATATATGCAAACCTTTAACTATAGATAATGCCCCATTTGGATATTTAACTCGTAATACTTTTTTTCTCTCAATTTTATTGATATGTGAATAAAATTGATAGAAAAAAAGTATTACAAGTGGTTAATCTGTGAAAAAGAAGAAAAAGCTGTTAAGAAAAAGCTTCATGCCAAAGTTTTAACAATTTTATTCAACAACCACAGATTTTTAGACTTCTTTTGTTCAATACACTAGAAACAGTGGTAGATGATGCTTGAAAATACTGTTTTATGTGAAGTTTCACTGGCTCAGACACATTTACTCTCACTCATGTGCTCCACCAAACATCAGCAGGTGATTGAGAGCCAGTAACACTGGCAGACTGTTTATTTATTTGCTTATTAGTGTGTGTGTGTGAGAGAGAGATATAGCTCAGGTTATAATCCCTAAACCTTCACTGACCGCAATCCTGATATGCCTAAATGACTGGCCTTCCCTCATAATCCCAGATGAGGGGCAGTTAATGCACACCTGAGGCCCTCGTACCTTCACAACACACACATCTGAAGAGAGTGGCAGGGAAATGATGGAGAAACAGACAGTCCTGATCCCACTGACAGCACCTTCAGTACAGGTTTGGGAGGTTCATCAGGAGGGTTTCTGCAGAGAGACGCATTAGTGACTCATGGTTTATCTGGAGTGAGTGTGAGTCCTTTAGACCGGTCACTGGAAAGAACAAACGCTCCAATCAGATTACAGCGCTTCACCTGTCCTCCTGCAGCGCCAAAAACCCACATTTCACACCTTTAGTTATTCATATGGTGCTTTTTACAATACAGATAGTTTCAAAGCAGCTTCACAGAAATTAAAAGGCAAATAACAGTGTAGCAAAATTCATCAATTATGAAACAAATTCAAATTCTGCTGTAAAACAGCTCTACAGAAAACAATATTGTCATTATTCAGATCAATTTGAATAATTATGTCAATCAGGGTCATCTAAAACTATTAAAAACAATTGATTAAAAGTTACTTGATATATACCTAAATAGCTAAAATAGAATAAAATAAAATATACCCGGATAAAATAAAAATAAAAATATTACAAACTCAAATAGTAATATTTAAAAGTAAATAAAAATAAAAACAAAAGCATGTGAAAATAATAAAAAATGAGCTAAAAACAAAAACTGAAATATTCAAAATATTAATAACTATATATAGGTTTTTATAAATAAAAATAAAACTGTAATTCGGATACATTATTCTAAATAGTAATATTAAAAAAGACAAAAGCACATGAAATTACTAAAAATTTAACTGAAATTAAAATGAAAACTGAAAATATATAAAGCTATTTCGCAATATTAAAGCTAAAACTGAAATAGTAAAATTAAAAATAAATTACATAAAGCTCAAATTAAAATGAAAACTGAAAAAGTGAATTAAAAATATTAATAACTATAATTATTCAGCTCAATGTTCATTCAATTCAGGTAAAAAAAAAAAAAAGCGCCCCATTTTCTGACCACCAACTCTTCTGTTGTCTCTGTCAGGTACTGCATCGTGTCTCCTGATGAGGAGGGACTGAAGATCTCCACCCTCGGCCTCCACAACGGCCACGGCTCCGGATGGCTTCACTCCCCCGGTGGAGAGGCGGGCCCAAGCACGGCATCAGCGCTGATGAGGACCGGCTACAATGGGAAGATCTCCACATCTGGCCGAGGCCCACTACGCTCCCGCTTCGTCAAGAAGAACGGCCAGTGCAACGTGGTCTTCGCCCACATGGACGACAAGCCGCGGCGGTACCTGGCGGACATCTTCACCACGTGCGTGGACACCCGCTGGCGGTACCTGCTGATGATCTTCTGCTCCACCTTCCTGTTCTCCTGGCTCGTGTTTGGCCTGATCTTCTACAGCGCGTCTTTAGCGCACGGCGACTTCAGTCAAGATCGCGGAAGCAGCGGAAAGCCGTGGAAACCGTGTTTGCTGCACGTCGAGGGTTTCATCGGCGCGTTCCTGTTCTCAGTCGAGACCCAAACCACAATTGGTTACGGCTGGCGCTGCGTGACCGAAGAGTGTCCCGTAGCGATCGTAACGGTGGTGGTGCAATCCATCGTTGGGTGCATCATCGACTCCTTCATGATTGGCACCATCATGGCCAAAATGGCACGTCCGAAGAAGCGAAACCAAACCTTGCTGTTTTCGCATAACGCAGTGATCGCGCTGCGAGACGGGAAGCTGTGTTTAATGTGGCGTGTTGGGAACCTTCGGCGGAGCCACATCGTTGAAGCCCATGTTCGAGCGCAGCTTATCCGCCCCTACGTGACGGCAGAGGGCGAGTTCATCCCGCTGGAGCAGACCGATTTGAATGTGGGCTACGACGAAGGCACAGACCGCCTGTTCCTGGTGTCGCCGCTAGTAATCGTGCATGAAATCGATGAGGACTCACCTCTGTGGGGGATGAGCTGCGCGGATCTGGAGTCCGATGATTTCGAGATCGTAGTGATCCTGGAGGGAATGGTGGAGGCGACGGCAATGACCACGCAAACGCGTAGCTCGTACCTGTCCCGCGAGATCCTGTGGGGTCACCGCTTCGAGCCGGTCATCTTCGAGGACCACGACCGTTACCAGGTGGATTACGCGCACTTCCACAAGACCTACGAGGTTCCCTCGACGCCCGCCTGCAGCGCTAAGGAGCTGAGCGAACGGACCGGGCGCCGCTCATCCGGGTCGTCCCGCTCCGTGACACTACTCCCGCCGCACTCACCCAGCGCCTTCTGCTACGAGAACGAGGTGGCGCTGTGCTGCGGAGAGGACGAGGACGAGCTGGAGGTCGCTCCCACAGACTTACAGAAGATGTTCCAGGATTCGGCCACAATGACCTCCAGAAACAACATGCTCTGTGTGTTAGACATGGACAACCAGATCGAGTTTGACATCCTGCAGACTGCATTACCACTCGACCCCATGACTTATAAGAGCGAATCAGAGATATGACGTTCCCACAAGTACATGCGTTTATTTATACATAAATGTATAGTTATATCGATATTTAAGTTAATTATTTGAATGTATTCTACTTAAATAATACAATTAATTTATATAAATACATTTACTCAAATATAAATAAATGTAGTAATGTTTATAAATATTTGAATACATTTATAAAAATACATGTTATTTACATAAAAATACAGTGATATAAATATTTACACAAGTAAATTATTTAATCAAATGTATTTACATATTAATATAAAATACACTAAAATAATTATAATACATCTGATTAATTTATTTGTAAAATATAATTTACTAGTAATACATTTTTATATAAATAATAAATGTATTCAGTTATATAAAATGCATATTTATTTCAATCATACACATACGCATTTATATAAATAAATACATTTTAAGTAGTCATTTATAAATCCTAAATGAATTTGTTTATATAACTGTATTATATAATAAAACCAAATAATTCACTATAAATAAATATACTTAATATTAAGTTAAAAAATGTAAATACTTAAATTAAGTAATGCATTTGTGTATATATATATATATATATATATAATACATGTATTCAAATAAATGTATATTCATTTACATACATTTATATGAATAAATACATCTATCTATTATTTAGTTACTGTAAATATGACATAAAACCCCGTCAGATTCTGTTCACGTCTTCAAACTAAATGGCTTTATTAATGTTGATTAACACAAAATATTTAGAGTTCACCAGGTCACATCAGTGCAATAAACAGACACTACCAGATCTACCTTTTATAGTCTCCAAATTATAACTGAGTTCAATTAAAAGATGAGTTTTGAAAACTTGAATGCGAAAGCAACATTAATTAGATCATTTAAAGTTCTATTTGAGTAGATTTGTTTTTTTCCAGCTCTGTTATTTTTTTGAACGTTTTGAGGGATGGAAAGATGAAATCTGTGAAAACTGTCTGAAATTAATTTCCATCCTGGTGAAAATCTCAATGGTTCATCAAATATTTTTTATGAATTTATGTTCGAAGCAATGACAGCTTTCTAGTGTTAAAAATGTGAAGTTTTTCATGAATTAGAGAAGGCATGATTTATTTCTTTTTTTAAATATGCATCTGAAATCTATGGAAGCCCATTTATGCTACGGAATAAAAAAAATATAAGGTAATCGCTACTTTTCATAATTCAGACTTTATTTCTCACAGTTCTGAGAAAAAAGTAAAAATTGCGAGAAAAAAAATTCTGACTTTTTTGCCCCTGCAAGTTTATATCTCACAATTCTGTTTTGTTTCCACTACAGAATAAACAATAAATATTTTTTGAATTCTTAGAATTACAACTGTTCTTCTCAGAATTCCGAGGTTATATCTCTCAAATCTGAGTTTAAAATCTCCCAAGTCAGACTTTTTCCTCGTAATATATCACAATTCAGAATTTGTTTCTCGCAATTCAGACTTTTAAATCTGGCGATTGAGTTTAAATCTCGCAATTCTGACTCTTCAAAAAATCAAATAAAAAGTCTGAATAGTGAGATAAGTCACAATTACCTTTTTTTTAAAATTCTGTGCTGGAAACAGGCTTCCATAGAACACTGCACCTAATGCAATCTTAACCAGCTGATTCTGGGTCTTCTCATATTTTGTTTGACATGTTAAGCGTGTTCATGTGGTTTGGTGTCCAGCGTTTAAAAGGGAATGAGGTTAAGTGCAGTCGAGCCGTTTGGTGCTCGTGTGATATGTTGATGTGGGTTTGTGGAAAAAGCACTTTCACTCTTGAACTGTACTGTGAAACTCGGACGGATGATACGGTGATATAAGCTGATGTAGTGAGTTACAAGCGCTGCAGTCTTTAATGTATAAACTAGAGAGCAATAGCAATGTTCATGCTTTATGTTCATCACTGGTTCCCCCAGACTTTCCTCCCATCGTGCTTGTCTCGGGACGGTTCTGGGCGAACCTGATGTGTGTAAATACAAAGCTGCTGCATGATGGGAAACTTTTCAAAGCTGGTTTTACACGTCTTCCCATTTGAAAATCTTCCAGACGGAGAAACTTTACTTGAAAGCGTCAAAACTCCTGAAATGCACTTTATCTTGTAGTGTTGCACCTTAATGTGATACTGAAATAAATCTTTCTACTGCACTATGTTTGGATGTCTAAGCCCATATTAAACGCACGAGCTGTGACTAGCGCTACATGACCTTGTTGCTTCAGTAAATCATTTGACTAAACCTTGATTCCTGAAACAGACGAACACACTGGGGGAAGAAAATGACTGAATACAACTGCACAGCAGTTTACTAAATTTAGAAGTTATTTACATAAGGACTGAACAATACGGATTTAGAGTCAGAACAACAGCTTCTCAGATACACATTTCACCCACATCTGATGAAAGCATGACTGATCACTTGCAGTTCTCTGATCTCACCAGCAGATGGAGCGCAACAGCAACATTTTACACACAAGCACACAAACCCGACACACCAGCGCCCTCTGCTGCTCACTGACGCCTGCAACACACACACACACGTACTGCACAAATAAAAATAAATACTCAAATATTTAAGACATTTTAAAAGTCAACAGAATAAATTATAAAAAAATATACATTCACACATTTACAGAGAATAAAAATGATTTTAGCACCTTTTACTTTTAAATAAAATAAATATATTAGCAGCTTTTAAAAGTTTACCGAGAAAAAAAAATAGGCTACATTAGCACGTTTTACAGGTAAACAGAGATAGATTAAGAGAACAAAATTAAATGACTGCATAAATGAAAGCAATCAAAACATTAAGCCCCGAGCAAACAGAAGCAGGATTCAATGGAAAGCTGTAGAGACTTTTTTAAATGAGCTCGCACTGACCGAATCAGAAAAGCTGCTCAATCATAACCCGGTTCCGGTTCCGCTGGTCAAACCGTACGGTTTAGAATAAGACGCGAAAACTGCACAACAATCATCGATCACTTCTGAAAGTAATTACAGATTCGACTGTTAAAACATTGAACAGAAGCATTAAAAAGGAGTTCACCTAAGTTTCATTTATCGCCACATTTATATGAATGTCCGAGATCTCCTTTGAAATCAGTCAAGAGAACATATGAAAGCTTTCCCCAACGGAATTCAGCTTTATATTTAATTTATTTCTATAGGCATATGAACTGAAAAGTACCTGTAGGAGAGAGAATCCGTAGAAAATCGGATGGCGTTCTGTTAGAAAACTATAGCCTGTATTTACAGGTTTACGCACATTTCCTTGAACCCTAAAGCAATGCATAATTTAAAACGTGCCAAAATCCTTTCTTTGAACACGATACAAACCTAGCAGAGAACTCCAGCTAACGTTCTGAGGGTTCTCTCAAAGTCAGGGACGTTCTGCAGTAGCGCTAATAGAACGTTCAAACTCATCTGGTCTTTAATGCTCTCAAAACGTTAGTACAAAAACATTTGTAGCCTACATCGTTCATGGAATGTTCTATTTCTGAAATGGTTTAGTTCAACGTTTTTTTATGCTTGTTTGAAAACGTTCAGAAGATACAATGGAACGTTGTTCGCATAACCAGGAAAAATGTCGAAAAAAAAGGGATGTTTTGAATGTTCAGAAAACACGATACAAACCTAGCAGAGAACTCCAGCTAACGTTCTGAGGGTTCTCTCAAAGTCAGGGACGTTCTGCAGTAGCGCTAATAGAACGTTCAAACTCATCTGGTCTTTAATGCTCTCAAAACGTTAGTACAAAAACATTTGTAGCCTACATCGTTCATGGAATGTTCTATTTCTGAAATGGTTTAGTTCAACGTTTTTTTTATGCTTGTTTGAAAACGTTCAGAAGATACAATGGAACGTTGTTCGCATAACCAGGAAAAATGTCGGGAAAAAAAGGGATGTTTTGAATGTTCAGAAAACATTCAGAAATGCTGTTTTATAATTGAATGGGAACGTTAGGCAAATGTTCTTAGAACACATTTTTGTGAGCTGGGATGGGCCGTATTTTTACAGATTTTCATTAAATGTGAAGCTGATTTTGTTTAGCAGATGCTTATGATAGATCAGGAAATGTGCTTTAAATGAGCAGAAAAGAACATATGGCTGTACAACATCAAAACACTCACTAACCAGCGGTCTGGGTTTGCTTGGCACGCTCTGCTGCAGTTAGCATCACTAGTCTTGTTCTCTGGGGATCCTGAACCAATGACTTCTCAAAAACACCAATGAAATACACCAAAATCACCCACATTTCTCTCTCTCAAAACTCTCACTCCTCCACAGCTCGATGTCTTTCACTCAGTCTTTCTCTTGTTCACATGCAGAGGGTTTTTCAGTAACCTGCTTCCACTAATTAACCAACCTATATCAGTTCATGAGTAGGTTGATCATCTCAGACAGCAGCAGTAGAGGGAGACAGAGAGACAGACACACATTCAGAATAAATAACTACAACACATAATCTGAGTCCAGTTACAAAAACACAACCACTGTTAACTAGTCTTAAGAACTAGTTTGACCAGCAGTTAACCAAGCGATAATCTGTTTTACGTTTCTTTTTTTTTTTTTTTAGCAAAACTGACTTTAAAAAGGTTATGATTATTCTCAAAGAAAAAAATAATAATAGATGACTCATTTGTAATGCTAGTCTAATCAGGTTATGCAACCGGCCGCTGAACTTCTGCTCCTAACACTGACCTTTGACCTCAAGGGTCAGAATAAAAGTTCAAAGACAACAACGTTTCTTCATTTTTTTTTCTTCTTCATGTCAACTATAAAGTCAGACGCAGGAAGTGACATCGTCTGATTTTCTGTACAAGCCATTTAAACTTGAATTATATTAAACTAACTTTATAAATTGAGTTGAATATCATATAACCTATAAAAATGAAGCTGAATATTGGTCAAATTAATTCGATGAGTTATATTAATGGAAAAAAAAAACATGTTATGACTTATTGATCACATAATTTTGTTTTACAGTGTAACAGTCATTGATCTACATCTCTATATATATGATGTTTTTAGTTTTAGTTAA